AGCGAGAACAGGGGAAAGAGAGAGAGAGAGAGAGAGAAGCGGAAAAAAGCCGGTGGAGAGGTGAGAAATCGGATCGCGATCTGGCGATCGCGGGATGATCCCAGGTAAGATGCATGTAAATGATGATACAAATGCGACGATTGCCGGAGATAATTGCTATTGGCGAGTCTCCAAAATGCGACATCGAGATTGCCGGGCGAATTTCAGTCGCGTTCGACGTATGCACGGGGAGGCGGGAAGCGATCGGTTTTTGTAATTCATGTTCGAAAGATAGAGAGCGATGTTGTACGAAGTGGTGCAGGAAATATTATTTATCCGACAGTCGTTGTCGCGGGCAAGGTCGCCTTTGTTTTTACTTCGAGTCTTCTATGTCTGCGGAGCGGCGAAACGGTCGGTCGGTTAGAGTTTCGTGCCGCTAAGATTTGTAGAGGATCCGCAGAGAGAGAGAGAGAGAGATAATTTAGTGGGGGATCCGCGCGGATGACCTACCTACGGAGTGTGTTTTTGTAGGAAGCTTCGATCGCCGACCACCGTTCGTAGCACTGCTCGAAGTAGCGCGAGGTGCGAGACATTGTTTGCGTTACACGCACCGAGTGCCGCGATATATAGGAGGCCAGAGTTACGTTACATGTTACGGAGAAACGAGTCGTCGCCGGCGATAAATAACGTCTTTCTGCGGAACGGATAACTAACGAGCGCCGCGCGATTCCCGCCCGTCTCGCGGGTTAAAGTCGGGCGGGCGGATTTCGGAAATTTTCAATCACCACAATGAACGCGAATTCCCGGCAACGATTCGAGACTCTCTCTTTCTCTCTCTCTTTCTCTACTGCTTCAACTCGTCTTTCGAAATAGCGCTGCTTCCGGAATTCATGACTCGTGCACATGTGTGTGTGTGTAAATATTAATAAATTATGTTATCACACACACATACACACACATATATATATATATATATAAAATAATGTATATAATTCTTATGTCATATATATCTTTTTTTTTCATGTTATTATTTTTTATACAAATTATATAATTGTGTGCATATTAAGTTTTGTGTGTGTGTGTGTGTGTGCACGCGATCGTACGTATGTATGCATGAATACGTATACACAAATTAGCGCGCCGGACCCTCGGTTTCTCGTTTCACAGAAATTCCGGCGGGTCTCTATTTCTTCACGGGGCCCTATTTCGGGGACCGGCATGCGGCGTTAGAAGACGCTATCGTCCACAACGACCTCGGGCTATGATTTGTGATTCGAAGTAGAGGATGTAGGCTCTCCGATTTGGAGACTGACCGCCAAGGCCACGTCAGAGAGCCCCGTGCATGCATGCCAGAGAAAGAAAGAAAGAGAGAGAGAGAGAGAGAGAAAGCACGAGAGAACGAGAGAAAAGAAAAAGATTACGCGCACGCATTTCTCGCCCCCGTCAATGGAGCGAGGAGAACGCGTGTCACGCCGCGCGTAATCGCGCGGGGCAACCAGTCGCGAAGTGCAGACTCCGCGCATTTCGACTTCCGGTTAATTCCTGTACCCGTCTTCCTCGCCCGGAGAACGGAACATTCACTCGCGATTCAAAACGCGCGAATTGCTTCGAAACAACTCTTGAGATCAGGAGATGCATGTGAGATCCTCACGAGCGGGTTTCGCTGAATTCTCCGACTCCCATGACGCACGTGCTCCGTTTAAACGTGCTGTACATTTCGACCTACAAATTCGAGAAATGCGTGTGAAACGTGTGATGCTTATTAATCAATCAATTTACCCTCCTTTCCGCCTCATACAAGATTACCTTTTATCTTGCGATATTCTCTTATTCTTTCGCTTCGTTTCTTTTTCTTTTTTCTCAGAAAGCTACTTTTCTTCCGCGTACGCGATTGAGAGAATCCCCTTGCGATTTCTCCGATCCATTTTCCTCGAAACGTATGTGTGTGTGTGTGTGTGTATTCTCTCGTTGATTGCAGTGCTTGCAAGCGCGTTGCGCCAGCCTCTCGGAATTCACGTTGTTGTTTTCTCTTGCAGCTCCCAGCGTGACGGACACACGTGGTCTCAGCGGTCGGTTAGGCGCAGCGGTCGCGGGGCCCTTCGGCGGTTCGGCCCTGGCTCTCTCGCACGACCCTGGATCGCAAATTGGAGCGGAATGACTACCGTCGAGTCGAAAAGTATATACACATCGTCGTCGTCGTCGTCGGGCGACGCGAGGCGACGCAACGGCACGACTAACACACGAGACCGACGCCTCTCGAAGTCCGCGCGCGCGTTGCCCTGGAGAAGCCCCGGTGCGCGAAACACTTTGCACGAGATAGGTCGAGATTGGTGACAATATTCAGTGATGACCTCACGTGTCAATATTGCACTTGTCCCGGCCTATCGAAGTGCATTGTCCTTCGCCGAGGAGTGAAACAAAGGGATATCGCTGCACATCGCACGGATAAGAGCAACGGGAAGCAGAGCGCGGCGAGAAGGGAGAGATACACTGTTCGGAGGAGCCGGGGTGTTGTCTTCTCGAGGTGTGGACGTCTTCGAGGATCGGGCAGGCCAGGATGTGGGCATTATTTGTGATAATGGCACTCAAATTGCACTCGTCCCGGCCTGCTGGATCTGCTCGATATATCGATTCGTATAGCTGTATTCCAAGGAGTCGTCCGGACCTGCTAGTGATGTACGCCCGATATAACCCTGGTCGCGATCTACCAGCGAAGAGAGCTTCCTGTGAGGACTCGATGATGCTGCGGATAAACACGAAGCGAGAATGATGTCTACGTCGAGCCACGGCGTCGCTTGTCGGGCTCCTAAACGACACTTTGTACAAATTAGATGTAGTTTCGCTCATGATCTCGTCATTACTCTCTCGAGAATTTGCTCTCCTCACGTTTTCTCCTCTGTTGAACAATAAAGCATTACGAAAACGTTCTTACGTGTTTTGTAATTTTATGATACAATAAATGTATTCGCTCTCTCCCTATTCCTTTTTTTAACACCGCTCTGCGAGGTGGAAAATTCATTAAATCTGGCGAATCCGTCTTGCAAAATGTCGCTTTATACCCGAAAATCCGTCCGTTTCCCGTTGAACGTCGAGCTGCCCGATCCGGGATTCCGCCGAAATTATACCGTCGCTCGGGTACGCGAGCGTGATCGAAGGCACTTTGTAGCGTAACAATGCACGCACACTCCGTGTACGCGCACCGGTGAGGTGAGGGCACCGAACACCTAGCGGCAACGTGTGATTCGCGCGTGTGGTATACAGTGCGTGACGCGTCGCGATCCGTTTGCATCCTTTTGCGGTCTTCCTCTCGGAACAAGCGAGGAGACTTTCGTGCGCGGCGATACGCGGTAAAAATCAAGTCGCGTCGTTCGACAAATTATCGCGAGCGGAGGAAGACGACGAGAGAGAGAGAGAGAGAGGACCTCCCTCGCAGAAACGCGATTGCGTAACGATAGGGAACGATGAAGATGCGACGAATCCCCCTCCGCCCCTCGCTCGACCCCCGTCGGTGCTACTCGGCCGAATAGACGGGAGACGTTCGGATACCAAGGCGGATTGACGGATCACGTCACGTGAGGAACTAAATAAAGGCGCGATTTTCTACACAGCCGGGCATTTAAAAGCCCTTTTTAAATCCCCGTAGGGCCGCCGCGACAGACGCGCCGCTCGAATTTCGCGATTCGCGAATAATGACATGCACACGTGCTTGCGCGTGTGCGCTCACGCATGTTGCGTGCGGCGCTCTCGTTGCGTGCGGCGCTCGTCGCGAGAACGCCTCTCCTCCAGGATGTTACTCGGTCCGCGCGCGCTTCCGGCCAATTCGGGTGAGAAAAATGACGACCGTCGCGTCCGGCACCTTTCGCGAGTCGCGCGAGTATCGACGATCGCGCACGAATTCGGATGGAAGAACGGAGGGAAGAGGGAAGCAAAGTGAGAAAGGGAAAGCGAAAGAGTGAGAGAGAGGGAGAAGGAAGAAACGAAAGGAAGCCGCGCATCCCTTTGTGTTACGCGCGCGCGTAACCGTTCCGCGAAACGGTTGTACCAGCCGAGAGGAAGGAAGAAAGGAAGGAAAGAGAGAGAGAAACGGTCGCCATACAAGACGCCCTTCATCGCGAGTCCCGAATCTCGCGACGTTCCGCGACGTCGAGCATTCGTGTTTCTCGCGAGATCAGCTCCGTGGACACAGTGTTTTTTTCCTCGCGTCTCTCTCTCTCTCTCTCTGTCTCTCTCTTGTTTTCCCTCTCTGTCACGCTTCGCCTCATCCCGCTCCTCGAGTCCGACAGAAGGGTGCTACTAGCGAGTGCCACATGTAGAACGTACCCCCTAAACGCGTTCGCCACGCCGCAACGAACGTTTTATAATTCGACTCCATTCTCTCTCTCTCTCTCTTTCCCTTTCGGTGCCGCGGAGAGGAGCACAAAGAAAAAAGGAAGAAAGAGAGGGGGGGAGAGGTAGAGAAAAAAAAGGAAGAGGAAAAACCCGATATCAAAGGACGAAGGCAGCCGGAGGGCACCGGGGGAGGAGCAGGGGGTTACGTTACGTTCGATCGAACAAGGAAACACAATAAAAGTAGTGAGGGCCCCGTAGAGGGACGCGAATCCTGTTTTTCATTCGTGTCCCTCTCCTCGTCTCGCTCTCGCGAAGAGAGAGAGAGAGAGAAAGAAGGAGAGACGTGTGCGCTGCGTCGCGCGACGCGCAAAAGCATCCCTCTCTTAAGGAGAGTCCCACGGTTTGAAATAAAACACCTGGCTTCTCGCCCGCGTATGCGCGTACGTACGCTCGCTCGCGTACGCGTGCACACGCGGCCCGCGCACGTACACGCACGTGCGACGTGTACGCGTGCACGCGCGGCCGGCCGTGCGCGCGCGGTATCGCGTAGAACCGAACCGATCGTTTCGAACGGCTCGAAGTGAATTGAAACAAGAGGGGAGGGGGGAGGGGGAGAGAGAAAGAGGGGAGAAATATGTATCCGTCCTCCCTCGCGTTTCAATTGCGATATCGGTCGCAGGGATTCGCGACGATTGATTGATTGATTGATCTTTATTTAACTTTCTCAGCTATTTGTATTACAAATATATTTCTTTAGTAGCCGTCGAAAAACATTAATTAGATTACAATGTTTTATTTTGGTAACACATTATACATTTTTACGCCTTCATAAAATATTGACTTTTGCGCACTCCTGGTTTTACGAAATTGCAATATAATGTCCCCTGACTGCCTTGTTAGCCTCCCCCCTCCACGATCACTCGCAAAGTCGCGGTAACGCCGAATCCAGTCCCGAGGGTAGCCTGGCGAAGGATTCCGTTCCGAAGGAGGGATCCTTCCAATCTCGCTTCGCTCGGAGATAAGAAACGGGGGGAAGCTGGAAGCGCGATAAAACGGCGGTTGAGGGATCTAAAAGTGCGATACGATGGGGTGAGGACACAGGAAAATTTGCGATCGTTGGTCGGGAAAATGTGGTCCGATCGGAGGGAGAACGGTGTGTTCTCTGTGTTCGAAGTGTGATCGAAATTGACGAAATTGACGGTATGGTCGAATTGCGTAAATTCGCAACTCTCATTCTCTCCTCGGCCCTCGTGAAAAGTAAAAACGTTTCCCTTCCCTCCGGGTAGTTTTGCCCCGAATCGATGTGTGTCCGTCCAGTCTGAGAGGTATACGCACACGTGACGCATGCGTTCTCACGGCGAGAACCGCGAGAGAAGAGAAGAAAGCCCAGGCTTCTCTCTCTCTCTCTCTCTCTCTGTCTGTCTGTCTCTCTCTCTCTATCTCTCTCTCTTCTTCCCTCGTTCTCTCGTTCTCCGACCTGGCGGAGACTGGTTCCCTCCGGGCTTCCTTATAAACTTTATTGAATTCTTTGTAATATGCCAAAGGGTTTACCGTGCAACCGTGAGCACGCTCGCGCATTCCATTCATATGCTAAACAATAAAATCGTTGAAAGAAACGAATCTCTATCTGGCGCTCCCCCCTCCCTCTCTCTCTCTTTCTCCCATTTCCTCTCGCGAGAGAGAGAGAGGAGAGCAGCTGGCCGAGAGACGTCGTCCGGTTAAAGACCAAGGAGAGGATGATACCTATTGAGCTATTTAATGAAGAAGAAGGGTGCAAGATGTACTCTCCGCGCCTGGTGGCGGTGGTGATGGTGACGGTGGTAGTGGTGGCGATGCCAGCTGCCGCCGGAAGGAACAATGCGCTTACCAATGACGCACATTCGCTGGTTCCGAAGCTGTTCCAGTAAGTGGGTCATAGGGGATTCTTTATAACATTAAGCCTTAAATGCATGAATTTTTTTTTATTACAGAATAATTTTTTTTTTTAGGTTCATAGGTAGTCCCAGAAAATGGGAAAAATATGTAAAAAAAATCTGAGACATATGTTGAGCATTGCCTTTGTGCCTTTTGGATTGTATATTTCGTTCTAAGGAAGAATTTGGTCTTCCACGTTTAGGTGTGCTTTTGATCTCGACAAAGAGGAAAAATAAATATGTTGCAAATTTGCAACATTATGCATTTAAGGGTTAAAGAATAAACGAGAGATAAGATTAAGAAAGAGCCAATGACAGCTAATCGCAGGATGTCCGTCGCCGGTGTAACGATGGATTATTAGTCGTAATTTTTGGACGTAAAAGAATATGCCAAACGATACAAGAGTTCATTGAGTGGCTATAGTTTTTAGATGCACCTTGACTGCATCCGGAAAACACAAGGTTTGAATAATTCGACAATGCGATTAGTGTAAAGGGGTCTAAAAGACCAATCAGCAGCCACAGTTGCATTCAGCAGAACATTCGGGTATGTTCTAGAAAATTGCAGTTAACCAAGGTTTCCTTCCCTTTCCCTTTTTCCCGTGTCATTCAAGTACCATCTGTATACCTGACAAGTAGAAATTTGGTACTGTCAGAAGGCTCACAACAGCAAGGTGGAAAGTTAATGACACATACTGGCGAAGTAAGACAGGGAGATATCGGACAAATTTGACGTAACATCGAAAGGAGAATTTCACCGAAACTTGCTGAAGAGGAAATTCGAAGTATCTTCAACAGAAATTCTCTATCTGCATCCGGATTTTGAGTATTTCGCACAAGATGGATATACCTGAAGTTCACACGACCCAGGAAGACGAATTTCAAGAGCCGGATTCCACCGCTGAGTCGTCGAACAAACGTTTGAGAGCTCGCATCGATCCACGCCGATTTACAACAGTAAGAATGATATTGGAAAACCCTGAATCGTGCTATGAATGGCATCGTAACGTTATAGTCGGACGATGTATAAATCTACGGGCCATGGAGAGAAATCTAACGGAGATTCCAAAGTCTCATCGAAGAGAAATCTATGCGAATCTTGAACGTGATCCAATTTTCGCCTATCACGTTCTACAGCCTGGGAGACCCATTGTCAGCGCTCCTACTCAGCCACAACCAGAAGAAATGATTATATTTGATTCGGGAAAGCGTAAATATCAAGAAACCGTGTAACGCCGCTGCATAAGTAAGGAGATGCAAATCAAGACAAATTGAGCGAATTAACTAATTGCGCTCGAGAGGTGCCTCTCAGGCACCACTCGGATCGAGGCGGCAAATCGAGCGGTAACAGTGTTTCTTTAGATTTGGCCTAACGAACATCGCTTCACGAGTTTACTCCTAGCCCTTTGTGTGTAATCTTATGAGGTAATGGCTACAGAGATGTCTTATCTCAAAAAGAGAAACGAACGGCCACTTAGTCACCTGCAATACTTGAAAACTTTGGTTGATCAATTGAGAGGAGATTTCCGGCAAAAACGACCGCGAGCTTCTACTTCGCAGAGCAGTTCTGAAGACATCCGATTGAATGGGAAGCTCCATGTTGTACTAATGGGAAGTAAAAGAGATTGCAAGGTTTGTTCCCAACGAACCAATCCTGGCAAAAGGCAACAAACTGTATACTACTGTGACACTTGCCCCGACAAGCCAAGGATGCATCTTGGAGATTGTTTTATAAAATACTATACGAAGCAAAAATATAGAACGTAACGTTTAATAAATGTCTTTTTTGAAATATGAAGATATGTGAAATGTTAAAATAAAAAAGTTTAAAGTGTTATATTATGTCAGAAATCATGTTAAGTTAACTGTAGTAGTTAACTGTAAAAAAACTCATGAAATAAGCGGGAGCAGCTAACTCCTCTCGAGTTGCTGGTTCGCTCGAGCGCAAAGGGATAAAATTAAGTGAATCGAAGAAATCAAGTTAAAGGGAAACTCATAACTGTTTAATCCTCGGATATAATAGTGAGTAAGCGCGAGCGTGGCATGATAGGCAGCGCACTAGTCTATCATACTTAGGAGTCCCGGGTTCAATCCCCGGCAGATCCAGAAAAATTTTATCATACATACATTCGTCGCTCCTCTTCGGTGGTCTGGCAAACCACCAAGAGTATTCCCATGCCATGAAAACTTCTCTCCAACTGCCGTTCGGAACCGGCGTAAGACTGTAGGTCGCATATGCATGTGTACAATCTGTGTGCGCACCACATGCATATGTAAGAGAAAGAAGTAGGAAAGGGAAACTCACAACTGTTTAAGCCTCGGATATAATAGCGAGTAAGAGGAACGTCTTACAACGGTTGAGAAGTATGACAACAAGTATCAAGAAACTGTGTAACGCCGCTGCATAAGTAAGGAGATGAATACAAATCAAGACAAATTGAGCGAATTAAAATTAAGTGAATCGAAGAAATCAAGTTGAAGGGAAACTCACAACTGTTTAAGCCTCGGATATAATAGCGAGTAAGAGGAACGTCTTACAACTGTTAAGAAGTATGGCAACAAATATCAAGAAACTGTGTAACGCCGCTGCGTAAGTAAGGAGATGAATACAAATCAAGACAAATTGAGCGAATTAAAATTAAGTGAATCGAAGAAATCAAGTTAAAGGAAAACTCACAACTGTTTAAGCCTCGGATATAATTAGTGAGTAAGAGGAACGTCTTACAACAGTTGAGGAGTATGGAGACTCGAGTTTGGCTGAAAACTTCCGGCAACTTCAATGGAATCTTGCACGACAACGCGCCTACGTGTTCAGCGGGCCATTCATCAAATTATTCCTACCGAAAAGGTCATGTTTCGGATGATTGGGGAGGATTCCGGACAGTAGACAAACTTCCTCGAGTTTCCAGAGCTGCAATGTAAAATAGAAAATAATTAAACGGAGAATGTGATAAGTTTCCAAAAATTATGATAAGAACCTCACGATGGGGAAGCTGACCTCGGAACCTGCGAGACGAAGTGTAGTGAACTGTATGACGCAAGCTGCGTTGGCTTGAAGGATGTTATGTATAGGTTGAAATTATAATTATTTTTTTGTTATGTATATAGGTATAATTTATGAAAAACAAACTATAGCTGGTCTGTATTTTAAATCTTGCATTTAAGTGGAATCATTTCCCTGGTACATATCCCGTACATTTCGAGTTTCGAAGCTTAAAGTGTCATACGTGTTACGTTAATTCAGCATCGACGCAGTCATGCAATGGCAACTAACGACGGACTACCTGGCGCTATCTGACGATGCGCTTCGCACAACACAACCCGTGCGAAATGCTTCTCCATTCAAAAATGCCAACCCGCAAATGAATTGCGAATTAGTTTAAAAGTCTCCGCTACGAGCCGCCACCGCGTTTCTGCGACGATTTCAATCGTAGTACGACTCAATAACAAAGTGGAGAGACCTTTAATTCTCAAGTAGTACGATTCGATGATAAGTTAGACGGACATTTTATTTTGCAAATATTACGACTCAATGATTGGTCAGAAAAGCATCGATTTTCAGGTAATTCAGCGGTTCAACGGTAAGTAAAATAACTTTATTTGCATCTTTTGCATTATATTACTTTATTTTTCTCCTACAATTTTTTTTAGAAATGGTAATTTTCGTGTGTTCCGAAATATGAGAAACAAAAACTGTCGCGACCGTTCTGTAACCGAGTGTACGATGTGTTTAATGTCCAATGATTACGTTCGACGCGCTGATCTAACTTTACCTCACGTAACTTAACCTTAACCTCAAAACACGTTACTTGGAGGTTAAATAGAACGGAGGAACTTTGAAAAAATAAAATTGATTTATTTCGACAGTTGACACGATGAATTCTTTAACAAGAATTTCCCGTAGGTATGTACGAGTTTCGATCCGTTCGGCTCGTGTCTGTAAATTAATTACTCTTTTAAATAAAATTATTGAAGTTTACTCAACTACTATGCCCGCATCGATAACTATCAACTCCAGAAGCCACAGTCGTGTCTCCAAAAGTGTATAAATAACTTTTATTCACTCCTTAACTTTTTTTTAAACTAACATAACATTGTTTTCAGGAAACTATGCCAAGAGTTAATAATACGATTACAATCGACAGCGGCAACGTCATCTTCGTCTTCAGATATTCATGTGCCAAACAGAATAGAACGTGGACCAATGGATATCTTGAAGGTAAGAGTAAAATTATATTATTTCTTATTTCATGTGTTGAAGAATAATTATGAATTAATTAAGAATGTGTATAATTTTTATTTCTAAGCCAACATTTCTAAAGATATGTATGATCTGTTCTGTAGGCTCTTGAGAGCACGATATCCAGGGACTATACAGCACCACATTATAAATATCACGACGACCCGTACCTGACACCGCTGTCAAAATTGCAGAACCGTTCATTCGCATTAGCACGTGAGTCTGGGAGGAAAGCTGCCATGTGGGTTCGACAAGAACATTCTGATTTGTTTCAACACAAAGTGGCGGATCCTGAGATCAAGGTGATACATTCAGGATAACTCAATCAGTCGATGTCACATATACATCCATAACTTATATCCATTAATCCTTCTGTAATCTTTGGGCCTATTTAACTCGAAATCATTTTTACTTCCCTATTACACTTTTATATGATTTTACACGATTTGAATGAGAGTTCTGGCATTTCATAATTTTGTTTCATAGCTCAAGAATATTAATTTGAAATTAAGCTACGAAACAGAATGGAGAAATAGCAGAGTGCTCACTCACTGTAAAAATGTAACATGGAAATAAAAATGAAATGAAATACAAATTTCGAGTCAAACAGACCCGAAAACTACAGGAGAGCCAATTGTGTCAGTAAATATGTCGATCTTAAATTACCCTGCATTTATGTATAGGCATTCATACCACCTCCAGTTTACACGGAAAACAGTGCAGTTACGGAGGAGACGTTGTTATACGAAATATCAAATGGCAACGTTCCCGACTCGGTCACGATATATGATTTGTTGAAGGGCGATGTGACGGTACCCACGAAGCAGGCCTTCTTGGAATTATTGTGCTTCTACAACAACAGTGAGCCCACCAGCACCGATTTCCTCGAGACCCGCTGGTATCAATACACTAACAAACGTAACAAGAATACTTGGATGTGAGTACAGAGAAAGAGAGAGAGAGAGAGAGAGAGAGAAATTGCTCCTCTCTCATTTACGTGCGTTTTTAACAGATATAAATTCAAGTTAACGGATAAATTCACGTGCTTGATTCACTTGATTGTGCTTTCGCAGAAGCCGACCACAAATCGACGTGCTGTTCGACTTTCTGATACAGCAGGAGCCCGCAGTGGCGGCTGCCGCGTACGACACGCTGATATGCGGCTTAGCTAAGTATTTCAATGTAAGACACACATCGACACCGAGTCTCGACCACCGAGTGCGATCGCATTGAGCAGGAGACGCGTCTCACACGCAGGGTGATTTAAAGTAACTTTACCGCAGATGGACAAGACATGGCACTTGTACACGGAATGCCAGGGGAAGAAAATACCATTGTCCGTCAGGGGGTACAACAGTGTGATATCGTTGGCGGCGATGATGAGCGAAGGAGACGAAAAAGCGAGGGCCTTGATAGTTGACATATACCGGTCGATGGCCGCGAACGGGATCAAGCCGAATATTCACACGTTCAACGCTGCTCTTCATACGGCGAGCGTTTTGAAGTCGAACCGGGCGGCCATCGATTTCACGCGCAACATACTCGCCGACATCAGGCGGTTCCAACTGAACCCGTCGTTAACCACGTATTTCTATGTGCTGCGTGTCATATGTAGATTCGGTAATTGCACGATTCCGTCCTTCTTCCTCCGTTAACGTTAACTCCGATAACGCTTCGCGATTGTTGCAAAACCGAGGAGTCGCTCACGAGTTTCTTGGTTAGCGCAGGTGACTCGGCGTACCGCTGCTTCATGGAGATCCTGAGGTCTCTGAAGGAGGACACGCCTGTCATCCAGAGTGCGACGGACATGAATTTCTTCGTGACCGCGATGGATATGTCCCAGCAATTCTGCAATCGCGAGGCGGGCGAGGCGGTGAACAAGCTGCTGCTTACCGGCGACAACTACAAGTTCATCGGCGACAATTTCAGAGTAAGTGTGTATCAGACGCGCGTCAGATGACGCGTTTGCCGTGAATCTTTCCGGCGGACGTGCCGACCGCCACCGGGAGTCACCGATGGCTGTAACGTCGTCACGTCACGCTGGTTCGCGTGCGAAACTCATCTTTCGCATGCGATTAAACATATAGACGATAGACGATAAAACGAGCTGACAAATGTGCGCGCGTCGCGGATTGCATTTGTGGGTCGTATTTTTGGCAGCTGCAATTTAAATCGAGATTATCAATCCCTAGTTTGGCACTCATGGGATGTCTAATTGACCCTATCGAAGATATTAAGATCCCATAGTTGTTAAATTCTGAAATTATTGCATGCGTAAGCGTAGGAATTCATTTCATAAAATGTGCAAAATCGTCCACACCAATACATCGTCTTTCTTCTAATACTTTAAATTATCTCTATTTTGAAAATAACAATTGCGGAAGTTCTTCAAATTTATCTCTTGTACGCTCAAAAGTATAATTCCTGCTAGATATACACTAGATATATATAAACACATTTATATATAAATTATATATAAATTGTCACCGTCCACCGCGATTCGTGTCGGTGGCGGGACTTTTCGCTCCCGTCTTTAAGCGGCAGCGGATCCACCTCGGCTAGCTCAATTTTTAAGTATCTTTATAGCGAGTTGAATATCCCTCGCGATTCCGCGGGGTAGAGCGTCGGGGTTCTTTCGCGTCTTCCTTGATACTCGCGGACTAGTCGGAGGGGAGCCGGGAGAGATAATAATTGAGAGACCGGTTAATAACAGAATAACAACGCTTTAACACGTTGACTGCCAACTACGAGATATCTCGTAGGTTGTTCACTTGCCCAGGACGCCAACTACGAGTTATCTCGTCGCTTCATTACTTGATTAAATCAAATTGGCTTCTTAGACCAGAATCGTGAAAAGTTCCGTGGCAGTCAACGTGTTAATTCTATACAACTCAATACAGACAATGTCTTTCTCCTACATATTATCGATCATATGGTGTGACGTTGAGATAATGCTTTTTAATCAGCCGGTGTCCTTCGCGGACAGGCTGATTCCGTACCACGGGAGATTCCGTAACGCGATCAAAGAGAGCGATATCTCGCCTTAGATGTCCCGCGAGAAACTTTTCTAGGCGGCAGCTCTAATACGCGCGTCGCGAAGCTCTCTTGCTTCCGGCGCCGTTACGCGAATCTCGCCGGGTTTTTCCTTGGCCGCCAGCCGGGTCTTTCCCGACAGTAGTTCCTACTCCCGGCCGAGTCGGTACTCTCGGACGTACCCGTTCGCCGGAAGCAGTCCCTACGTACTACTTTACTTATTCTACCGCGTAAGCCCCGATACATGCATCCGGGACCCCTAATCTACGACGACTGTGCGACCGGCGGACTTGAGGAGGCGACCGAGTCTCCGGGATCCTCACGCCCGAGACGCTCTCGAGCTCGGCCCTTGTCGCCCGGCGACGTGGCCCTAATTCTCGTATGTCCGGGCGCCCTGAACCTTCAACGAGTCTACTTCCCGGCACTCGTATCGCGCCCCGGCCGTCGGGAAGCGACGGTTAACAACTCGGGGTGAATTCGCAACTCTACTTTTCTACCCGCGGCTGTACACAGTTTCGCTCACCCACTCGCCACCGGCAACTCGCCTCTCCTCCTCCGGGTGACGTCCTCTGGACACGGCAGCTCGTTCTGTCGCTCGCACGCTCGCTAGGACGTCCAATTAGTCCGCCGTCGGGCCGCACAGTGTCGAGCAGGACTCGTCACGTAACGCAAGAGGCAGCCGCCGCAAGAATCTATCACGCCGCGCGATGCGGCCCCCGATTGGTCGTCGGCTAGATCACGCGTCTCAAGGGTGTTCGCGGGACCTCGCGTCTGTTGTGCTCTTTCAACGCGTGTTTATGCTTGTTCTTTCCCCGGGACGGCATTCGGCAACTATTAGGTTCGCAGTAGTCACAGGGCTCCCAGGCGCGCTTTCCGCGGGATCTTTCCCTGCCTGCTCTGCGACCGGGTCGCGGGACTTTGCGCCTTTCTTAACGCAAGGTGGCCATCCCCCTATTTGTCGCCGACCATCCGTCCGGGCGAACGTCTCCCCGCTCCTCCGCGTCTCGTTCTAGTCGTTCCTTCCGGGCCCTCCCTGTTGTTCGTCCTTGACTCCTGCCGGCAGCTCCATTCCCAGTCTGTCTTCCCTTCGTCCGATGTTCTGACTTATGGGTGTTCTCAAACTTAAAAAAAAATATATAGTAGCCGCGGGTTACCTCTTGCGCGCAAACGGCGCACAGGACTAAAAATCTGTAACTCGGTCGCCTTCTCTTACGAGAAGACGCGAGCCCCCGGCTCCCCCTTGGCCAGGCCACGGCCTGGGTGATGAGCGAAAATTTGCATCGTCACAAAATTTATTCTATATAAATTATATATAAATTTATTATATATAAATTATATAGAAATTTTTCTTAACCCTTCCCCGCGTTAAACCGTGGCATATGTCAATCCCACTTGCCATTAAGCTTTGAAAGGCCCGTTTTATATCTTCACGAGATTAGTCGCCTACAGAGCCGACAAGTAAAAACAAGTTTGTTGTTAATTAATCACGCGCATTACGCACTTGACGTACGGCCAACTACACCGTCGCCCGCTATCTCTCCCTCTCTCGCTTCAGGAAAACGCTTATTACCGGGCGTACTTGGAGCTGATTCTGATGACGGAGGACTTCGACGTGTTCTTCAAGCTCTACAACAAGCTCGTGCCGCACGTGGCGATACCGGAACCCTCCGTGATGCAGGCTATATTAGAGACTCTGCAGCTGCTTCCCGCTGAGACCGTCACGCAATATATACCGAAAATCTGGTCCCACATGATCATGTTCGGTCATCTGGACAGGGAAGGCTTATTAGAGCGTATATTGCACTTGATCAGCGTACATTGCAAACCCACGCCCGATTCCCCGTTGAACGCGCAGTTCGCGGAGGTCGCGCTCACCGTCTGGGATCACATACAGGTAATTAGATCGCTCCTTGACTCAATCGCCCCACAGATTGTCCCAGGCGCATCTTTCATCCGTGAATTTTCCAATTAATATACAAAGTGAGGCGATAACCATTGTCTCCTCGATTATTTTCCAAATGTAAAAAGAAAAACGTATCCAATAGAAATTACACAACGCACAAGCGGTCGTCTTACGACGTTTTCTTCCCGAGTAACTTTTGAAGATCTGAAGGTCACCTTTTTTTTTTTAATCATAGGTATTGAAGAATCCACTGTTATAGCTTAAGGCTATTTCTATATATAACATAATATATAATATTTCTCTCTCTTTTTCGCGCTTTGTGATAGACTCAAAATACCAAGAGGCTACAACACATGACGGTGCCGAGCACAGTGATGGGCGACATCGCGATGCTGCTTCTACGTTGCGGCAACACTGACAAAATGATGGACGTTATCCTGACGTTGGTGAAATCGCCGCATCTGATGACCGGCACCATCTCGACGGAGCGTATAAACGAAATGTTCGAGGTTTGCCTGGCTCAAGCGCACACACCGGCGATCTTAGTGAGTACATATTCGTCGCGTCGATCAGGACTGATTTGACGATAACGTCGTCGTGCCTTGTGCTTCCAGACCATCATCGAATACGTCACTTCTTCCGGTCTGGAAGGAGCCGGGGAAATGGCGAAGAAGCTTCACCAGACCGTACCTCTTACCCCCTTGCAGGAGAACATGTTAATCGGCTTGGTGGGTAACGTCCTCGAACTGCCGCTCTCCGACGAGCAGTCCTCCGAGTGAAGCGAATCGCAGAGGCACTTAATAGCGATTGTAATAGCGCAGCGACGCGACGATTCCTGCTGAAATGCACAACCAGTGCCGTCGTATAATTAATTTTCCCAGCTTGGGGCTCCTGTAAGGAGGATAAGGACGATTCCTTCGACGACAGTTCGTTATCGTTACGTCGTCGTTGCGTAACGATAACGACACTGTCGTTAGAAGTCAGAGAATCAGCCTATTCCCAGATTAAACTAATTTCTAAAAGATCTCTCAAAGACGTCCGAAAGATATGTAAAAAAATAAAACGCCTTTTCGATGGCTCTTCAAGACATCTCTTAGACATTCGTTCTGCCTGGGTTAATTTTTTCATCGGAAGCGAGAACACGTTTACCGGAAAAATTCTCGCGGGACACGTTGAGATAAAAGGAAACATGTTAATGAAATGATTGACGACTTGTGATTGATTAAACACACGTGTCAAGTATCCCGAAAACTTTCACTTTAACGATCAATAAATAACCGAACGATGAACGCGAGCAAATCATGAGGAAAGATAAATTAAGAGGGAAGGTTGCATGTCACGTTAAATTTACGGTAACTCGTTGATTGTCGGAGCAAAAGGAAGGTTCTCGGAATATCTGGCAAATGTGCTGTCGATCGATCGCGCAAGCGCTATTTCACAAACATATCCTTTTTATTCCGACGAAATTTCGCAGCAATTTTCGACATGCGTTTCCTCGCTTCTAACGTCGTCAAGCCGCAGCGAGAGGCCAGGAGGCTCGACGCGATGGGACTTTTCTACACGTGTGTACCTTAAGTGTACCTTAGCATTCTATTGTATGGCACCAATGTATATCGTACTCTATTGTACACGCGAGGCTGTAACATATATCGTTCGAGTGTGAAATAGAAACCGATCGATCGGTAGAGAAAGCCTGCCTGGGTTATTCGGTGGCCGCGCGCGTCCGCGAAACGCTCGGCACGAGTTCGTGCGAGGGAATCTAAACTACTCCGCATGATTGACACGCATCAATGTCCTTGTCTCTGGAGTTGGGGGCGCAAATCATTAATGAATTAAGTCGCCGGCGGCGGGGCGAGAGGCAGCCCTACGCGCCGCTCAAATAAGCCATTTCCTGCGTCAGGCAGCAGAACTCTCCGGTCCACCGTAAGGTATAGAATGTCGGCCGGCCCTTGCCGGGGAGATCGAGAAGACAACGCCGACGTGTCCGGATTATCCTCGGTGGTACAAACTGGCTATTCGTCACGGTATTCCTTCCTTCGGCTCGACAGGATGAACGGTGACGGTAAGGTCAGGCTGACGCTCGACGACGTGCGCGAGTTGGTCACCAGGGACGAGCCCGACGTGGAGATCACCAGCCTGGAGGAGGAGCCGGGCTCGGGTAGAGGAGACAATTACACCTCCATGCTGTATCGGGTGCGGGCGAAAGGGCGCAAGCACTCGCTGGAGGGTGGCGAGGGCTGGCTGGATTACGAGCGCGCGATCATCTACAAGATCCTGCCGGAGTCGAAGAAGCGTCGCGAGGCGTTCAAGAGCGAGCTGCTGTTCCGGAACGAGGTAGCTTTCTACAAGCACGTGTGGCCGGCGCTCAATCGGCTGCAGTCGGCCGGTAGGAGGGTGTTCGGCGGTGTGCCCAGGATCTACGCCGCCCGAGCGGACTTGATCGCGATGGAGGACCTGCGGGTGAGAGGCTTTAAGATGGCGGACAGACGGAAGGGGCTGGAGGTGGAGAGTCTGAAGCTCGTGTTGAAGGCGTTAGCGGGCTTCCACGCGCTCAGCCTTACGCTCAGGGAGTCCAGGTAAATGTGTGTCTGGCCGTCGAAGTCGCCGGGAGTGCTCTGTGTACTGTGCACTGTAACGTTCAAAGGATCAGGATATTAGTGCGAGACACGGTAGCCCCCCGGGCGCTTCGAGAGCTGGTGAAACGGGCTGCCTCGAGAATACACACGCGGTCGCGATATCGGTAATGTTAAGGAGGTTGTAAGGCTCGTATTTCCAGTGTCGCAGCGAGGGGGTGTTATTTGTCAAGGAAAATTACGTTCTTTTACATGAATTTCACTACCTAAAAAGTAAATATTAATTTGAAATGAAGTTGAAGTAAACGTATATATATATACGATATTACAAATATGAAAATATATTTTAAAAAATTTTTCTTATTAATGCACTATATTTATGTATCGATCGGTCTAATACAGATGCCCAGATAATAGAAAGAGGTGCATAAATGTTTAAATATGTGCATTTATGTATTTCGAGTATTACTATAAACTATTTTACACCGTTATATTTTCAAAACAAGATGGTCAGTGATTCTGAAATTTGCGTATAAATGTCTGCATATTGTAGCCTTCGATATCATAGTTTTTCATCAAAATCTCACTTTTGCTTTAGAAGATATTAACAAATAGAAATAATAAGAAAATAGCACGCTAATCTCAAGGAATACGTATAACAAGTGTCAACTTACAAATATCTCAGTTTTTGGATGGTCAAACCCGTTCCTAATTGCAGGATCGGTTAGATAATACTTCAGTGTATACGTGGTGCAAGTTTCTCATCGAATTCTTATCAAACTTATTTCGCCTTGCAAACTCCTTAACGGTACATTGATCAAAATGACTCTCGCTATCTCATTAATTTACAATTACAAGTCGTGTGTTTTCGAAGAAAAAGAAAAACGAACGTACGTACATCGCACGTTACATACATACGTCCTCATCTCCGGATCCTTTAATGCAAAAGGAATGTTACTCTTTGAAGGCCGGAGGAGTTCGTGAAATTAATGAATCCGGCACATGATCAAGGTATACAAGAGGTGTTGTTTCGACGAGATAACGAGGATTGGTATCGACAGTATTATCGCGTGGCCGCGAATAACGCTATCCGAATGGTGTCCGATGCGCTACCCTCGCATATGGACTTCCGAAGGGAGGAGGTAATGACGAAGTTGCAGGCCTTCCTCAACGAGGACGTGTTCTTCCGCACGATGAGCGAGCTCGTCTCCGCCCAGGGAGCTCTCTCTGTGGTCTGCCACGGCGACTGTTGGACCAACAACATCCTCTTCCGGGACGAGCCGAGCTCGGACGCAGAGGTGAACCTTCCTTCCTTGTAAGAGAAGTCGCGTACGATCTACGGTGTCTAAGCTCACGTTCTTGCCCGATGGTTACTTTGTTCTCGCGATCTCTTCTCTCTCTTCCGACGTGGAACGATGGAAACGAAAAAAATCTCATATTTGTTCCATACACTTTTATTATATAAATTTATAAGATTCTTATATTACGATTTTCTCGAAAGGTTCCTCCTCCATCCTTGATTCTCATTGGAAAGGTTTTTAGTTCGGCGAAGTCGTTCACCTGGATCCGCGTAGCCGGATACGCAGAAGAGATTCCTGCGTTTCATATATATATATATATATATGTGTGTGTGTGTGTGTGTTGTGTGTGTGTGTCTATACATACACACACATAAAATTTTGGCGAACTGAAACAGATACCGTTTGATAATCCTTCACGCACTATATTGCTTTCGTCAAATGATACAAATATTCAAGAGTGGTATGCGCGAGTTCGAGAGAAATGAGGCGTGCACACGCACATATACAGACGTTCAGTAGCGCGAAATACATCACGTAGTCGTGCGTAATTGCCTTTCGATCGAATTCAAACGCTGACAGGAACGGCAAACGAGAGCCTTTCATCGGCTTTCGGTGAAAGCTTCGTCTCAATGAAAATCGATCGTAACAATGAAGTCGAAGAAGTAACGGACGTGTGAAAAAAAAAAAAGGTTTGCACAAGATCGTTGTGAACGCAGGTGAGAAATTGGCTGTAATCGTGAAGCGAGCCTCTCACCAACAGACTGTTTCGATCGGTGGACAAGATAAATGAGCCTTCGCTGTTAATCGTTCATTGCAATACACGATGCATAGTCGTGTGTGTATGTGTGTGTGTGTGTCAACGCTCGTTCCTCTCTGCATTTGAATTCACCTCCGAAAGAGCCGTATCCAACGCTATCGGAATTTCTCGGGTCGAGTTCTGAAATCCTTCGTTTATATATTACGAGCAATTTGTCGATTTGGTGGTCACAGTTTCCTAACTGCGCTTTACGATTACGAGTAAAATTTTTCCCAGGTGTAATGGCTTTGAGACGTAACATCGCTAGACAATCGTTTCGCAGGAGAACGAACAGGGAGAGGATACTTTTGTCGTGTACAGTTAGCGCGGTTTTTTTCTCCCTCCCTCGTCGAACACATCACGATTCGTGAAACGATGTTCTCTCTCTTCTCTGTTCGGGACTTTCGTTAAATCGGCTAGCGCGGATCCGAGGTGCGCTACTGCGACCGCACTAGAGACCTCCCTCCCCCCTCCCCCTCCCCCTTTACGACTTTGACTTTAATACTGTGTTTCTGCAGGCCGTTTATTTAGTCGACTTTCAACTGACGCGGGTTGGTTCCCTCGCTCTTGATCTTGCGAACTTGCTATACTGCTGCACGAGTGGTGTGGTTAGGCGGGCTTACATGACACAGCTTCTCCAGCACTATCATTCCCATCTGATGTCCTCCTTGCGCGTCCTCAATCCGGAACGGCCGCCGAAAGATCCATCTGTTATGTGGGAATTGTAAGTGAAACACCGAGACACAGCTCGCGCGTAACGATACTGTTTTATAATCGATCACGCGTCGATTCACGCTATCTACGCTTTCCCTTGCGAAAATAATACGTGTGTGAGAAGAGACTGTCTGCGAATTTTCACGCCGAACGTCGAAGAACACTTTCATTGGCTACGAAGCATCCGGAGATGAACTCAAGAAGGTCTTAAATATAAATGTAAGATCTGACTGTGAATGCCAGCCTCAAGTTTTGGGCTTAAAGTTAGATGTAAGTTTCTTAAGTTGTACTTCGCGACTACAGATACAATGTCAGATACGTGGTTCAACCGCGGAAAACTCGGGTCTAACTCCGAATTCAAATCTGCATGCTTCACGTGAGACAAGTTTCAAGTGACAACTAATGATACAGGCCCTTGATAGTAATTGACGAATGGTATAATGATACATCATCACACGTATATGTACATATAATGAAAGTGATTCTGTTATTCTCTCTGACAGAATTAACGTGAAAGTCGGACAAACGTTGATTTGTATTTCTCAACATAAAAAAAAGAATGCTCAGAAAATATATCTCCGTTAATGGGGATTATTCCTGCGCTGTGGAAAACCAACGGACGATCCCAAATTGTTCGGAAATATACACACATACACACACACACGGACCCCCGAAAATACGATCTGAAAAAACATGAACCGGCCGATTTGTAGATTGAACGAAGAGATGCGGAGATGCGGACGATTCGGGGTGGGGCTGGCGTTGGACATATTACCGATCAGCACGTGCGCCAGCCACGAGGCACCGGATTTGTACGAGAGGAGTGCGGAGACCAGCGAGGAGAAGCACAGCGCGGGAGCGCCGCCGCCAGCCGGCGCCGAGTGCGCCCGGCTCATGACTGATTTAGTGTTGGAACTGATACACAACAAGGCTCTGTAGATCGGAGGGAGAGGGGGACGTCGCATTATTCAATAATAATATATATACATATATGTGACGTATATATATTATACGTGTGTATATGTGTGTGCATATCCTTACTGTAGTTATTTTTGTAACTCTTATAATACACATCATCGCGTGCGCGCGAGGAAGAGAGAGAGAGAGGGTAGCACAGTGTACAAAACTTTATCCTTTCAATTTCTCCGCACACACACACACACACGCTCGTGTGTCGTATGAGTATGTGAAGAAAATGTTAATAATTACTCCTCCGCACATATATATAATTCATATATATAAAAAGTCAAAGTATCTTTCTTTTTTTCCTATTTTTTACGAATTACACTTACACTCCTACCTGGAGACATCGAGAGAGAGAGAGAGAGAGAGAGAGAGAGAGAGAGAGAGAGAGAGAGAGAGACTGCTCGCCGCACGGCTCGTCCGAATGTTCTATATCACGTTCTATCACACGATACAAGATACAATGAGAAGTGATCCGTGGCTCTCGAGAGAACCGCCAACAAGGAGCCACGGGGATGCGAAGGAGGAACGTAGAGCGATTTCTGCGACGGGAGAGTTGTAGCGCGTCGCCGTGCGCGTTCTCTGCTAGTGCGTGTGTATGTGCGTGAGATACATCACACACTGATCACATAGTGGCGCAAGTACGTATACACACACACAGTCACGATCGGTCGTTTTTTTATTACTCAAAGTGGAACTCACAAGAGAGTTATGTCTGCTGCGGCGGCGTGTGCGACGATGGTTGTTGCGCCTGCGGACTCGGCGGCTGTTGCTGCTGCTGTTGCGCGGCCGGCTGCCAGGGCGGATGTTGATTCTGCTGTTGCTGCTGCTGCTGTTGCTGCTGTTGCTCCTGAGCTAGTCGCTGGTGCGCCTGTTGGCGCGCCCTGAACTCCGCCGCCTTCAACTGCTCCAGGTGGAACTGCTGCCTCTCGGTGATGAGCTGCTGACGCTGATACTCGAGGCCCTCGCGCTCCCGCTCCATCGTCGTCTCCAGCTCCTCGAAATGGCGCAACTTGATCTCGAGTTTCTTCATCTGCGTCTCGACCAGCAGCGCGACCAGCGACTTGATCTTCCTCTCCTCCACCGCTGCCAGGTGCTTCGCCTTGACGGCTGCGGCGGCCAAGGCCGCCGCTGCCGCGGACTGTAATTGGGCGTCCCTCACAACCTGTGTGTCAGGGATCGAGTGAGAGTTACGATGTCGTGAATTCAAAGTCAAAGGCGAGCGGTGTAGACCGACTCATGGTCCGCTGTAAGCTCACCTTGTCCTTCTTCTCCTTCGCCTCGATGGCCTCGGGATCAGCGGCGGACTTGGCATCCTCTTCGCTCTCCTTCGAGTCGTCCTCCTTCTTCGAGATGTCCATTTGAGATTGCTCGACGTCCGTCGCATCCTTCGACTTCTCCTGATCGTCCTTCTTCACCTCGGAAACCGGCGCCGTCGAGTGCGGTGAATTAGCCGCGCCCGACGGTACCGAGGGTGTAGTGGAAGACGCCGTCGTATCGTCCGGTGGTTCGGGCGGCCCTGTGCCAGCGATACCTGATTGAGCTAAACCCGCCGCTGGATCAAATTTACCTGATGAAGCGTGAACAAAGACATTTGACAATTAGTATCGATTGATCGATCACCGGCGACATCGATTCGCTCGAAGAAGCGGGTAAAGGCGATACAGGCTATAGAATTGATGAGACAGTTACCGTCCGAATTGGCGCTGGCCTGAACGTTTCTTAAATGCTGATCCAACAACGCAGCCGGCACTTGATCCTTTATCGCTGCGAACTCCTCCATGGCAGCCTTCGCGGCACTCGCGGCTACCCTGGGATCGACGACCGACGCCAGGAAAGCAACCGTACTCATGACGGGGTTTCCAGCCTTAGAGAATGGTACAGGCTGATAAGCCAACGGGCCCAAACCTTCGGGGCCGCCTTCCTCCAAGTACGGGTCTTCTATGGGCAGACGCAGGAAGTGCAGGATACATTCGTCCTGCGTTCTCGAGCCTACGTGCTCGCACACTTTGTTCCAATCGTCCTTGTGCAATTCCAATCCCTCCAGCAGCAAGAGCGTCTCCTGCTCCGTCCAGTCGCGAGTGGCGCCCGCCGCTTGCTTGTTCTTCAGCACCGCCGGTTTTCGGGAGTACTGGTCGATCTTCAGGCCGAAGTTCGCCATCGCGCCTGCTGAGACCTTCTCCTCCGTGCCGACAGCGGGCGGCACGGTAGGCTTCTTCTCCAGGTCGAGGAGCGTCTTCGCGGCGGACGGCTGCGGCGTTTTCGGCGGATTCGGATTCACCGGCGCCAAACCGGACGGTGTGTCCGAGAGAACGTGGAAGTGCGACGTCGGAGGAGGCCCCATGGGCGTCGGTCTGGACTCTGCGTCCACTTGGTAATTGATGAGACCCCACTGTTCCAGGAACGCGTGCACACGCATGATCGCGCAAACGTCTCCGGCTAAGTTCCGCCTGAAAGAAAGAAAGACTATTTTTCTCCGGCTCGAAGTCGGCTGCGTCGATAAATCCAGTTCGAGTCTACATCCAGCAAGGCCTTTGGCCTTTTGCTCAAAGTATTAAATTGCAACGTGATTTCTAGCAAAAAGCGTTCTCAGCGCTACCGGACGTCGCAATTCCAAAGATTTAAGCATCATTGTGACTCTCGACAGCGCAGAAAGCGCCTTTTGTTAGAAATTACGTCTTACCGCTCCGAGGAAAAGGCTAAAAGTGTACTACACCTATCGCGGATTCGGACTTAAAGGTGCGTACGCATCACCTGCAAGCGGTCGACGTGATATACTCCGTCGGATTTAGCCGATAAGTGTCGATCATGAAATTCCTGTACGCAAGATAAATCTCCGGGGTCTTGGACTTGTTTTTGCCGTTGAAGAACTCCGACAGAGCTCTCTTCTCGATGGTATGGATCGAGTTGTAGTCGAACCAGGCGGAGTAACTCGGCACCACGATGTGATGCGTCTGTTCCGTCACGTTGTCTTCAGGCTCGTCGCTCTTGCCACCTTCACCCCTTTCTTTACTGGTGTCCCTCTCTTCCCTGTCTTGGCCGCCTTGAGAGCTCCCTTTGTCACCTGAAATATCGGCAGTTTCTAAATTCGCAGTTCGTCAAATCAGCACCGACACCGCCGATGTCTGTGATTCATATTGTAAAAATTCAATTTCAACCTGAGTCAAAATGTCTCAAATACTTCTAGCAACTTCATCATATCGCATCTGAACGCGATAGAGGGGTACATAAAATGCTCACCTTCGATCGGCTCATCGAGATCGGCCATGTTACCCGATTTGAGTGGCTGAAGTTCGCTGTCTTGCTTTTTACTGCCCGCGGACGCCAAAGTGGAATTGCCCGTCGTTGCGTTGCTTTGGCCAGTGATTGGCGGGTTCGTCGGGGTAGCGACGACCTCCACGATGCGAGGCTCAGCGGGTGGGTCCTCCATTCCTTGGGTCAGATCTTCTTCTTCCTCGCCCCCGCGTGATTTCTTCGGGGCCGCCGCCGATGAGGCAGAGGAGGCGCTTTGGATACCTGACGGTGCTCTACTACTAAAAGTGGCAACGTACAAAATGAAACATGAGGTGAGGTCGCAGTTGAGAGATCGGGCTGAGTGATGGTGAGAAGTATCAGGAGTCCCCTTGTACCTTTTGCGTTTCCCGAGCTTTGGAGGTGGACTAGGAGATCGCTTCCTCTTGGGCTTCTTTGCGGGCGGTGGATGGGTCGGTTGCGCCATCAAATCTTCCACAGAAAGCCTGTACTTGTGCACTCTCTTCTGACCGTTGTCGTCTACCTCGTAATCCTCTTCGTTCATCCACTCGTTATATTGATCCAGATCTAATGCCCACGTAGCTGATACTTTGTACACGGATCTGGAATGGCTTTCAATGATCCATCGAGCCTGACTCTCGTATATAACGAGATATCTCCGTGTATGTATATTTAAATTACATTTCCAAGTAAGAGCGTATATCGTACTAATATCTTAAATATAACCGATCAGATTATCACGAGACTATTATGGGACACGCAGTATACCTTGAATTTGTATTCATAAGAGTTCCTTCGGGATAATCCCAAGGCAAATCGAGCGTCGTCCACGAGTCGTAACTATCCGGAAAGTAGTACCAATGAAGTAGAATCGATCGTTCGCGTTTCATACAGGGTCGTGCATATTCTTCTTCCATCGGATCAACCGGAGGATAGATGATATGCGTGGCATCCGCTTCGTTTTCCACGACGGTCCCCTGGTGCCTCCTAACTGCCTCCTTCACTTTCACAGCTGTAGTTTTGTCGACTTCCGGTCTTACGTAAATAGCCGGCACGTTCATACATCTATTCTGTATTAAAGCACGCTCCGCCGCCGTTAGCATATCCACCGTGCGGTCTGTGCGTGAACCGGACTGGCAATGACAAGAATTTGACTATCAGTAAGAAATTCTCACGTAGAAATAAGTGATTATATGAGTGATATTCGCCCGAAGAACGTATCTACCACGGATAGATATGAAAACAAGAATAACGGGGAACATAATTACTTTTCCACCGGGAAAATCGAATCGTCGCCATCCTTGTTCGTGCTTGAAGCGATATGCAGTAGCTAGTATGTGACACAATCCTCCGCCAGGCTTAAAGTCCAGGAAACATTTCATCTGCAAGTGAAATTCACTGATCAGCGATGGAACTATGAACACTGCTGTGGCTGTCTGACGATGCTACGTACAGGAAGTCTAGTCATAGGCGGCTTGGCAACATTTTTCCCCAAACTGTCCTCCTGGAACTGGAGCAGCTGCACCAACAACGTGGCTAGACTCTTGTTGTTGGGAGGATCCGTTTGCACATACTGGAAGGAGTCGCAGAAAATTAGGGACGTTCAACTTTTGTCAATTCAGCTTACACACACGCGCGCGCGTCCGACACGTCCAATACGCGAGGTTAATAAAATGTCGCGCGCGCGTTCGCTCTTGCAGCCGCGTCTTTCGCCTCCGTGTCCTCGTCAATCACCTCCGGGCGTTCGCCGATCTTATTTGCGCACACGGCGGATAAAAACACGCGATAAGGCGAAAACTCCAATTAACTCGGCGAGCGTGCAATCACGACGACGACGACGGGGTCACCGGGGTGATTTCCACGTTGAACGCGCGCGTCAGCGCATAATCGCGCATCGTGGGAATTACAGTGTTGCGAGCGGCGGCTCGATTTTTTCCCCCCCCCGCCGATCGGCCGGCGCGATGTCGCACGGAAAAGTCGAACGCCCGACGAAGGGAGCAAAGGGGAGGATGTGAGCGAACGCGGAATCGAGCGACGCCGGGTCCATGTTTCAGCAGCACCATGTATCGGCGGTAGGGACGTACCTTCTTGCAGTTCTTCAGCAGCCACTGTTTCACACCGTCGAGCTGGGCAAGGATGTCCGGTGACTCGAAGAACTTTGCGTTGGGACCGCCGTCCTTTTTCGGCCCTAACGAGAGCATCTTTCATAGAAATTCGATGACGAATAGCGGCTGTGGGGGAACGCTAGCAGGAACAACGCCGCGCTGCTGATCGCAACCATGACACGCCTCTGAAGTTGGCTGTGGCTACGACGAGCGCATCACGGCGCGACCGTGCAACGCGAAGTACAGTGTCGCCTTCCGATCGCCGTAGAACCGCGGCGATTGGAGCCGAGCGTGGATATCGCGACGACTCCGCTTCGATTGTCGCTACACCGGGCTATCGCTCGTTCGCCGCGAAGCGGTAATTGCAAGCGAGAATATTCCCGTGGACCACCACTGATTCTTGACGTGGCGACGATCGGTAGTAAATGCGCTCTCGAAACATGGCTGCCGCGCGCGCGCGCCTAGGGTTAGAGCGCCCCCCTCCCTGCCGCACTCGGCCTAGGGACATTTCTCCCGCGGACATTGGTGCACACGCGCGCGGCCGCCATCTGCATGGGCCGCGTGATAATCCGCGGGAGGCGAGAATTGATTTGACTCGCGATCGATTCCGTTCGAAAAGGGCGATGAGCGAACAACGCCGACGGAGAGAAGCGTGGTGGCGCGGTAACCTTGGCGGAGACGAAGCCTATTTTTAATTACCGCCTCTCTTTCGCGCGCTCGTTCGCTCGTTTTTCAGGTCACGCCGGGAGATAAACACGCCGGATCGATAACACGTCGACGTAAGCGTTGGTTAGTCGCCGCTGCACTTTTTATACTCGAGGGGGGAAACAGTCGTCGGTGTTCCGCGTGGCTTCTCTTCTCGGCGCAAGGACGATACAAAAGGAGAATGCGCGCACGGACGGCCGGGTGTAGAAAGTGTACTCCCTACGTACGGACGAACCGAGCGATGAGTGGAGGGGCGGGAGGAAGGTGGGAAAAAAGAACGCGGCGCTTCGGCACCTTCGATATTTATATCGCGTTGGGCGGAATCCACGACGTTTTTTGCGACGGGCGATTAATTAATCCGAAGGCGAGAGAAGCCGCTGCCGCATACCCGAGAGGTCTCTCCCCGCGTCACCTGGGACCTGCGCGAACGAGAGTTCCCGGCACGATGGCACGCCATTTTCCCCGGTTCCCGTTACGGTTGGTTGTTAATTAGACGCCATAATTGTATCCGATGTTTACCTTCAAATTACGAGCGTCATCGCGTCGGTTTATCGGAACACGCCGTGTTCGCATACGCGTCCCGTGTCCTCCCTCTCTCTCTTTCTTTCGATTTTTCGCAGACTGTTTCTCTCTCCCTCTCTCTCTCTCTTTGTCTGTCCGTCTGTCTGTCTCCCTCTTTCTCCCGAGATATATATACCTCCTCTACACCTGCTATATCCTCTCCTTCACCTCTCCCTCTTCGAAGCGTGAGGAGCCATATACCCGCATTTCGACGTAGCGACCGTAGCGCAGGGGAGTAGCAGCTGAAAGGAACACACAGGAGATATGATATTCGTTGTACAGAAGAGAACTTCGCAGGAGAAACTTGCATTTCTCGTGTATAATACAGCGGTACTTCTCTCTCTCTCTCTCTCCCTACCATCGTGAGGCTGGCTCGACGATTAGCGGAGGAGCCGCAATCGCGGCTCAATATCCAGAGAGCAGCGTGTCTATCGTGCCCGCGTACGCGAAATGATTTTAATTAAACTACATCGACGACAACGTCGCAGGCGGTCCCGTCGAAAATACACCCAATATTCGGGGATCGAGCAGGTCAACGACCTTGCCGACGCGCCTGCAACCGGCTCGCGACTATTCCACGCTCTCTCCTCTCTCTCTCATGTACGACGATTTTTTCCCTTTGCATAATCCGGCACACACATGCGCATCACAAACGACGATATACGGCTCGTCATTAATATCGACGCGCGGGCCCTCCTTCCCCCCCCCCC